CAAGGCAGACGAGTCTATACAGGAAGCCAAGAAAACGAACCAATCAGAGCAAGATAAAATAGAACAAGAAGAAAACAAATCACAAAAAACACAAAGATCAAAATCACCACGGACACAAGATAGCAGGTTAGTTTTCTTCCTTTGTCTTTTCTTTATTCGACTATTTTGTGCTATTTGACGTAAAACTCCAAAACTCCAAAACTTTCTTTTCATTTCCAACTTCATTAAAGTAACTCCCGGGGTTTTATTTAACTGGCCAGGATTTGCCCCAAAGAAGTTTCAAATTCCATCAGCCCCCCTTGACAACTCTTAATTAAAATTCTTCCATTGTAGTAATGAAGTAATTTTGTCGAGTTTTGAAGCAGAAGAAAAGGAAAGGCGGGAAACTTACCGTCAGTGGCAGAAACGAAAAGCAGAAGAACTACGCAGACGTTTATATCTGGCTTATCGCCCCTACTACCCTACAGACCTCTTTACTGATGATAAAAGTAAGAAATGTGACAACCTCTTTGAAACAACTAGTTATATTGTTAAGAAATAGGTTTTACATGACGCGTTTTGATTGGTTAAAAATAGCGTCATTGGAACGGGACTGTGGTAAAAACTTGCTATATTACAATGGAGACGCAAAGTCAGAAAACAAACAAATTGCAATTGCTTTAATTGGACGAATTTTGAACCTTGAATCATTTTATTTACACAGCCCCTATATTGTTTTCATTTTCAACGATTTGACTGATTGTACGACGTATTTCGTCTTCTGTGAACGTTCAACAGTAGGGCGTAAAGATCCGATTCATTTAACAAACAATAACTAGTATTATATGATTTTATTTTTAGAACCAATAGATTTGAGCGTCAAACCTGCCAATAAACGACCAGCTACGTCCTATTCCTACAACTCAGGACGATCTAGGCCTATGTCTACGTTTTCTAAACGAGAGGCCAGGGAAACTAAAGTGATAATGACGTCGTATGGATCGAGGAAAGTTGTTGTGGAAAACGGACAGAAAGGTAGAAATTTTTGTATTTTGGTTAATTTGCGTTTTCTGTTAGATAACTAAATACTTTATTATGAATCCTTAATTTTTGCCCTTTTTGGTGATATAGCCAACACAACGAATTATGGCATGCCTGCTACATCATGGCGTTTCTACGGCAGAATCGAAGCTTGTCGGGTTTTGGCTCCCACATAGGGTAAGAATTGCTTACCTCTGTGGTCCCTCGCCTAATGATCTTTATGAAACGACACTGTGTTACATCCATCAAAAAGACAATATTTATGTTTCAGGTTTTCAAATACCAAATGGAACCTCCCACACGAGGACACCACTGGTATTCATGTCCCCTGTGGATTACCAGGGCCAGGAGAAACAACGAAAGGAGAAAGAAAGAGAATATCATCAGCGACATCAGCAACAGAATCCGCAACCGGTTCCAGTACAGGCTTAATTTGTTTGGATAACAGAAACTATCTGTCCGAAAACCAACATACATGTAATTTGTTTGTTCAATTTCAATTGAAAACGCAATATTTGGCTAGATCCCCTCTCCCCCAATCAAGGCCGCAACGCAATGAGGCAAAGAGGGTTCTGGGTAGATTTTAACACAATTGAAAAAAAAACCTCATGGGTGAATTTATTATTCATATTTGGATTAAAGAATAAAAAATGTACAAAGTTCGTATAAAAAGAACTTAAATGTAAAAAAATAAAATATGCCTCAAACATACTACAGATAGTCTTATAAGATGGCTATAACTCTTCAATACAGGAAAACACTGTCATGAAAAGTGACCATAAACATGTTGAGATCCCAACCGTATATCACGTCTGAGGAGCGGTTAGGGCCAAATATGTTGGACTTCCCCCACGGTAATCACACATGCGCCTGTACCCCCAATAATTAGTACTGCATGACCAATTCCCTTGTTCTCCTACTGTGGGTTATCACATGGATCTAAAACGTTGTTCAATCATTATTCATTAAACGTTGAATCATATAATCTATTAATAATCACCATTATAAATATCTTAATTACTTTATGTCTAATCTATTGACTATGTATGATTTAAAGATAACTGCCCAAGATACAATTGGTGTTTCTACGCATAGGGGTCGGGCGACATGGCTCCACCAAAACTAAACTTGACTCGGCTTCGCCCCCACCTCACCACATCTATAATATCAAAATAAAGAATGAGAAGTTTGTGCTTGACAAGTCAGTGATTTCCATGAACTACCTAATGATTCAAAGAAACGCTAGTGTTTTTTAGTACAAAGTATGTTGGTTCTATATGACTTCTGGCAGCTATTTTGATGGTTGGTGCCCAGACTAACCTGCCTTCTTCGGGGATCAATATAATCTGATTAAAATACAATTTTAGATATTATATTTTTATCATATTTTGAAAAACGGTCTAACCATACTGAAAGTCAAATGAAACGTCATTTCTAAAAATACTGATAAGTCATGATCTGTGGTCAATAACCTTTTTAAAATTATTCTTCTACTTTTAGTTACACTTTAATCCATTTAATTCTGGCCCACTCTGATGTCTTTAAATACATACATATAAACTTTTGAAAATAAAGATATACATATCATACACCAACATAACTTTTCTTTTGTTCTTCAATATATTTCGTTTCGTTCTGTGGATTACTTAACGGCTATATTTTGATTATATTAGGATCAGGTTGATTTTTAGAATTCCTCTGAGAGTGTTCCTTTAATATATCAAATACGTTTTTAATTGACCTAAACAGGATTTTGACTTCTTTTGTTCGGGGTTTTGTTATATGTAACAGAATTCTTTATGGGGGTAATCGTACTACGCTTTGTTGCTAGGCAAAACAATGAGGACCTATCATATATCTATTACAAATATGCACCCAGGTCAAGTACCCGTAGACTCGGTCTTTCCAGTAATTATATTAAGTAATGAATTGAATGCATGTTCAGACTTGATAATCTAGTATCATGTACAATAATGATCGTAAGCCGTATTGAATTTGTCTTGCGGATTACGTGTTATTAATTCGACTGTTTAGAAGTGTGTCATCAACTTGACTTGTTCGGATCGTACGTTTTTTAAGGTAAGGCGTTGAATAATGTTACACGATTGAAAATGTAATAGAGCGGAGTTTTATGTCCTACTGGCAGGACCATTTCTGCTTCCCACTTGTCCGTATCTTATTGGTCTAATGAAATGGAATAGGTTTTATATGGTATTTTTCTGTCCCTTAACGCGTAACTTGATTTCCATGTTAATAATACTATATAGTTGTTTGTTTATTGGTATATCAGCCTATAGGGCTCAATTTTAGCTAAACACATCCCCATACACCCAACAACCCTTTGGTGATAGGGGATGAGAGCCGACATTAGGATGCTGCCACTGATCGTGGGTTGATGATATCTGCATGTGATGATTTTACAACCCGAAATCTTAGACGTCATATTTGCATTCCGAACGTAATATGGAAAGCTGAAATTAAGATCTATTAACTTATCAATATTTGACGATCACATCCCTTTAAACATCTTTACAATATCAAGCTATTACGAACTGCTTCTAATACCTTATAGACTGCAAAAGCTACATTTCTTGTATCACGAAAATTTGTGAATAGAGCGACGCGATTGGATTGTAGGCTTCAGTGTCAATAACAGTTTGAATAGGACCAATAACTGGGTGAAATGATTGCAGACACCCCACTTTAATATTACTAGAGAGCTTTATATTGATCATCAGAGCTTTAGAAGCATTGGAAACATATAAGTACTGTAAATATATTTTGAAAAGTTTTAATGAAAGTTTTGAGTGTGGTTCATTTCCGGTAATCGATTGGATTTGATTTCATAAAAAGACGTAGTATAATCCTCTAAGCGTTGATTCTAAACTTATAAATACCCAACTACCTGTTAGTTTTATGTTTTGAATTTCCCCCTATGTGCACTAAAACTTCGCTCGATTATAATTTGAACTATACACTGGTAAATCAAACTTCTATTGTGTTCATTTAACTTATATTACATGTATTTATGTATCGAATCGGACCCGAATTACTAAATATTTGATCAACAATAAACAAGAGCACATTATAGGCACAACAATCACTGGTTAGAACTTCCTGCAACGTTTCGATGAGTTTCTCCTGTCGTCTTCAATAGCATCTTTTCGAAAAAGAGCAAGCTAATGCCGCTGTCCTGGCAAAATGTCCCTCATCGCACCCTGCATGGCGTTGCCGTCTTCATTAGCCCACATGGTGCAGAAAAGTAGGACGTAAAACTCCATTCATTTCATTTTTATTTCAATAGCATCTTTAAAGTTTTAGTCTGATCTCAGAATCCCTTAGAATTTAATAAATGTTTACCGTAATAATTGTTATTGTGTTTATATAATTCTAATACTGATCACTTACAGGATTAAGCGGGATTTTCTCAGGGATTATCTCGGAGATTAACGGTAACAATTAATTGATCTATGTATGCTTGCTATGTCTATTGTTTTGAACAGAACTTCTAGAACGTCAACCATTTCATCTCTTGATGACACGCTGTTGCACATTCAGTTAGAAAGTTGGAATGTTTACATTTGCTTAAATATGACGATTGAATCTTTGTTTTTAACCTCGTTGATCTTAAATAGGTCATCTTTATCATTAATTAAGTCCACCCAGCTGTAAATGGGTATAGATAATCCAGGAAAGATCAATCAGGAGGTTTGACCAAGGACCAGCTAGTAGACAGATTTACGAAAACATAAGTTGTTATCCTTGTGAAATATGGTTGTTCCTTTCCCATTTTATTTGCAAATGTGAACGAGAAATTAGATCTTACTTGAACATCTGACTGCTGTTCTTCGATAATGGATTGCAGCAGTCCATACGTTTCAAACATAGGGAATTGTAATAAAGCACAGTCATTTAAACTTTTTTTTTTATTTTTCGTCTTCAGAATGTTGGAGTGAAGAGGCAGACGACACGCCTTAAGTATGCCCAGCGACGTCATGATAACACCAAGTGTAAACCCCGTTATGGGACTCCGTAGACATACTTTTGATCGGAGCAGCTTGTCAAAAGTCCCCAGTCTTCGGACTTCCCAGCTTCAAGCAAATCTGCTGGCTAATAGTTTAACCAATCGAATTAAGACACATACCGTTAACAAGCCTTTTATCCAACATGGCGGACAAAGTGACTTGCTCCATTTTGCCAGCCTTAATAAGGAAAGAAATTCGTTATTCAGAGGTGGACGTCGTCTGACGTCAAGAGCTCGCGAGGACAGAAACATTCGTCATCAAGATAGAATGACTAGACAAAATGAGTGGAAACTGCTGAGTCATGCAGATCTGTACACACAAAATGGCGTCCCGGAAGTGGACTCAGGGAGTGTGAAATCAGAAGCTTTGTCTTCGAGAAATTCTGTTCAAAGTCTTCCGGTTCAAAGATTATCATTGGGCGAATCAGACGATCAAATCGGTATGGAAAAACGCGGGGGAATTTTCCAATCGATTCACATGTTTGCTCCACAGCGTTACAAACACAACGTACATGAATCTCCGTTCAAATCACCAATCATCGAATATGAAGAAATTACCATTCCTCAGTCTGGGTGCATCAGTACCTACGAATCCAAAAGAAACAGACGAAAAGATCTCAGAGTAACTTTTAGCACCTCTAATTCAGTCGTGGATTGGAATGAATCAATTCGACGAGCAGACGATAACTTGAGTTCCAGAACAAAATCTCGTGTTCCTAAAATATCCTACATCTCAGACAAGGACAGAATACCGGAAGTTGGTGTCGCTTGGGATATTACTCCAACCCTTTCCCACAAAACATCAGTGTTACCAGGACAACTAAGTCGTGACCTCCATCCCGTCACTTCCGGTATGAATAAAGAAGGTACGACAGAACGTAAAACAAGATGGCGGGTTCAAAGTAGTCAGTATTTTAATAGACCCCAAGTCCCGTTGACGCGATACAAAGTTCATCGCTGACATAATTTTGGTGTGTTTTTGTGATTTTGTTGTTTTCGTAAAGAAAGCTGTATCAAAGTTGACAACAAAAAATCCTTGAAAGAGCTCATTCTAGAAATAATGTTCATTAGACGCAGTGTGGCGCTGTGTGGCGCTGTGTGACGCCATTACTATACTGTTCATTAGACGATGTGTGACGCTATTATTATAATGTTCTCAAGACTCTGCCTGATGCTGTATGACGCTATTATTATACTGTTCATTAAGCTATATGTGACGCCATTACTATACTGCTCATTAGACGATGTGTGACGCTATTTTTTTAATGTTCTCAAGACTCTGCCTGATACTGTATGACGCATTATTATACTGTTCATTGGACGCTCTGTGACACCATTATTATACTGTTCATTAGACGCCGTGTGACGCTATTATTATACTGTTCATTAGACGCTGTGTAACGCTATTATTATGCTGTTCATTAAATGCTGTGTGACGCTATGTGACGCCGTTATTATCTGTTTATTAGATGCTGTGTGACTCTGTGTGACGCCGTCATTATACTGTTTATTGGATACTGTGTGACGACATTATTATACTGTTCATTAGACGCTGTGCGGCGCCACCATTGAGTTGTTCATTATTAAACTTTTCATGAGACACAACGTTACGCCATTAAGATGTTGTTTGTATTTTTGCTCTAAGAACAATTCGTACTTTCAGACTAACATCTTTTGTGTCTGGTTCTATGACAAAGAACGTTGTTTTGTAAATGTCGCGACAATTTGTAAATGCTTACTTGTAACAATATGAAATTTGTCTTTATATTATACATATTCATCGGGCAATTTAAGATAATTATATAATAATAAAATCCTAAACCATAATGGCCTTAGTCTGTCTATACTGATGTGTTTCATGGTAGTAAATTATTGATTCTATGATGCATGTTGCCATGGACCACACTGAATGGACATGGAACAAGGTATGTAGAAACGATAGGCAACGGGGCAGCCCTAATTGTTAGATTTGTCAAAAAAATTTTGTAAACGGGCTTTCTAAATGTTTATGTGTAGGAGGATATTGTTAGCACCATTTCAATTTTCAGTCAGACTTCTGTGGGTCTTGAAATTCCACTGAAACTAAGCGTTTTATAATGTAGCTCCTACAAAGGTTTTAAGATGTTAATATCACTAGTTGTATTGACTCTATTCTTTAATTACAGAAACCGTCATTATCCGCTTGAAAATTAAGCAAATAGTAGCATAGATGGGCCCGATATACATATAGAAGGCAGAAAATTCCTTAGAGTGTCAAAATATTTCATAGCAAACCATAATGTACAAAACAGAATAAATGCAGCAACTCAAGGGAAATATATAGACGAATGTAATAAGTCGGAAAAGTAGTTTATCAACTTCTGAAAGTTCAGAGCTTAGAATACGATGTTGTATATCCCATGAACACTTTTCAATATCTTTCAATCTATCTTATCACGTGTTTCTTACCGGGGCATACTCGTGATATATTATATATATTAAGTTTTACCACCGAAGTCACTTGATTGTCGGCGAATTAGAAATAGGTTTATTGTCATTTTCAAAAGCCTTACAGGTGTCTGAAATTATGTCTGCATCAGCAAGAACAGCAAATATCATTCGACTATAACTCTTCAAACAATATTCCGTTCCTTCATTTACTGTTTTTCCTTGAAACATTTAAGAGGTCCAACTGTTGTGAACAAACTTTCTTGTTGTGAACCTGCAACAACAGAATAAGTGTAAGAATCTATGAGCAGTGTCTCAACAAGGGGAGGATATTATGTTCTTCTGTGCCCTGAGACCCCAAGTCAATTTAATGCCTGTTAAAGGTAAGATTTTAAGAGTTTGAGACAAAAGTGGGTCAAATTGTCGTCTAACAGCAACTTTAACCATGGTCATCTTGTACGAACATTTCATTTTTATTTAAGCGGAAACCGAAACGCTCCGCCATGCCCTGACCTAGTGCTCTCCTAACTTAGTTCTCCCCTGACCTGTTTCTCTCCTTGTCAGAGATGTATTTCGGAGGGGCTGACATGAAACAACCGTCTAGTCGTTCGGATAAGAAAATAAACCATGGACCCGTGGATTAAAAGCTTTGCAATGATTACTGGACAGATGGAATTCAAAATAGACAGGGCTCATGTGATTGTCTCCATTTCCCATAATGTAATTTGATGTGGAAGTGACTGGTACCCATTGACCCCTTGACCTCTCAAGATGCTAGAAGTGACATTAATATCACAATTTTCATGAGTGTATATCAAGTCAGAAGTACGAAGCTGTTTAAATCGGTTAATGAAATGTTCCGCCCATTAATTATTAAAAAAAAACCGAAATAATTACCAGTATCTCCAGAACGATATCCAATCACCGGCAAGTCGTTCATATTGGTGATGTTACCATCATCATAGCGTTCTATATAGTCGTTAACGTCACAGTTGCACTTGATGTCCGTACTGTCACACGTTCCTTTCAAACCGCAGTCACATCCTACATAGCTAGTATTACTTCCGGCGAAATATTCCGCTGTCTCATTCCGTCTGTTAATCCAAGCCGCGTGATCCGTTATCAAAACATTTACACATCGAGTATGTATTCTCTGAGAGCACGATTGAGAGAATTCGATCAATCGAGTAATGGCGTCTAAATCAGCATCGTATTCGATATCAAAATGTTGAGAAAATGGATTTTCATGGTCTTTGGATACCAGTTCATCACTGTTGTGTTCTGAAACAGATTAAAAAAGAGAGTTACGTGTTCCCGTGTTAATACAATTTAGGAGTAAGTTTAAAGGGACTGTAAAGAGGTTTTGTAACGTGTATCGCGGAAACTGATATCATATATTTGTTTCTCAGAACTTCACTAATCGTAAAGTGATAAATCATATTTCACGATTAGTGACGTCATCAAACACTGAGTTTAAGCGGAATTACAATCCCTTTAACTTACGCTTTCACGGAGTTGTACGAAGAAGAGAATAGCCCACCCCTCCCTCGACTGTATTGTGGTACAGTGTTGGGCACAGGGACATAGTAGAATATCCGACAATGTATTGATAGACTCATTAATGGTTCAGTTTTTTATAGATACCAAAGTTATGTCAAATTTGGTTTTGTCATGGTGAAAAATTCCTAAACTATACGCGGAAAACATACGTACCCACAGTAGTTACATAACCATTCATAACGTTCTTACAGGAAACTTTAAAACTATTGAGACTGCCAGCAGGACCATCAACATCTATCTCAATTTTCAAACCAAAATCCATTCGTCTTGACGCTGCATCGGCACAATCAACTGCAAAAACAAATAGTAAACACCATAATACCGTCCATATTCCTTTTCTTTGACAACAAATAGTCCAATGAAATTGCATAAAATAGGGGCAATAAAATTGTGGATGGGGAAGAGGGGGGTGGTGATCACAGAGAAGTTCTTTACCCCTGTAAAATGATGAGAAATATGAGAGGGGCTGGGGGAGGGGGGTGTCCGGACAGACCTCAATTCTAAACCCGACCCCCAGCCACAAGCAGATCTCCATAGAAACGCCACTATTAAGACATGTATGTCAAATATACGAGTTTATTGATTGAACAGAAGCCATAAATTAGATTAGTGAAAATATACAAAAAACGTTTGCTTACCTGGTAAACAATAAACTTCAGACCACTGTCCACTAGCCTCACAGTTGACCTCCACTGTACCTTGATCAGAAGTTGGACAAGATATTACTAACGTTTCTCCTATCGGCCACAAAGCTTTAGAATAAGACGGAAGTATATGTCCCGAATCATTACTCGGTGAAACACAGCCTACAGTTACACAAGCGATCGGACCGTTATTCTGAAGAACACACCTGGAATTGTAGGAGCAATGGTGAGTAGCACACCGTCCTGAAAACCGCTCTGCAGACCAACTCGTCCGCCTAGAATACACAGAGTTCGGTTCTACTTGTACATCAAGATCATCTCTGGAAAGCAATTCACAGCTGTTCCGATCCTTGAAATTAATAGATTTACACAATGTGTACTGAATGCACGTCTGCATGCACTGGACGAGTCCAATAGAAAGTTCCAGGAATGGTCTTTCAGGACTCATCCTTCCAAGTTCCAAATCGTCTCCAAACATAGCTGGGTTGGCACAAATCTGGTTCCGAACCTCTTTGACAATCAGGCAGAGAAATACTGACCAAATTCTGCCAACATTTTTCATTTTCTCTTTCGTTTTCCTGAAAACAAGAAATCGTTAAACTGAAAACTTAAAGTGAATCTTTTCCAACGTATATCACTGTAATACCAGACACCGCCCACATACAAAAGCCACCTGGTTCCGCACTACCAATGGGTTTGTCCAATTCGTCATGCCTTTCAGAGAGTCCACATAGCTAGTAATGTTTATTTGGTATAGAAATAACGCAAGGCCATTGTCCACAATAAACACAATAACACTGAATTGTTGGTATTCTATGAAAAACAAACCAATAATAAATTGGCTAGGGAATACAAGTCAACATAATTGTAATCTATTCTTTCGCGCCAGCAGTCATAGATCACGGTTCCACGAACACTGCTCGAGGCAGGGAAAGAGGAAGGGGGGGGGGGGGGGGGGTGGATTACTTTAAATCACATCACAGATCTTCTTAATACCAACCATTTCATATCGTATAGACTTTCAGGACTTTATAAAACCACTAAGACTTAAAGGGAATGTAAAGAAGTTTTCTACATTTTTTTTATGTGTATCGGGGACAATAGCTTCAATTTGCACCAGTTTTCATTCCGACGTCTGGTTCTTGCAATTCTACCAGGAGCTACTATTAATATCAATGCACTTCCCCTCTATTGACGTCATAAAATACACCATAGTTTTAGCGTAATTGCGAAAGTCACAGATTTCGGAATGAAAATTGGAATGGTGCAAATTGATGCTATCAGTATCTCGGATACACATTAAAACTAACTATAAACCAACTAATGACTTCTATTTGCATCAACCAAATTTTTCTTTAGATATCTTTGGTTCCTGTCATTATTGAAATGCTTCACCATGTATGAAACTATCTCAAAAACTGTTAACGATGTCAGAGAGGCAGTTCACTGTCGAAATTTGAGCATTCAAATCTATGTGGGTGCAGAATTATCTGCGTTTTGAAAGTTACAAAGACGACTTGATTAAATATACAGCAAAATGTCTTATACTATTAAATGCAATTAACCTTAATTGTTTCAGAGATCGATTTAAAATAGGGAATTGATATTTAACAATTTATATCTTTAGACAGTTTGTTATTAACAATTTATGAAGCAACTGTATACAAATATTTGAATTCCAGATAAAGATTGGAATAGAATAACTCCGAATAGCCTTTTAACCTCGCTATCGGTATCCCAAAAGTAGTTATTGTAACGCAGCCGGACACCAATTCGTATAGATTAACTTGCAGAAGAAAAACCCACGAAGGTACGAACTCTACTTGAAAGTACTAATAGTGCTCAATACACCAATTGTAGAGCGCGATATAGAAATACCACTGTTAAAATGGTACTCAATACATCAATTGTAGAGAGATATAGAAATACCACTGTTAAAATGGTACTCAATACATCAATTGTAGAGAGATATAGAAATACCACTGTTAAAATGGTGCTCAATACATCAATTGTAGAGTGATATAGAAATACCACTGTTAAAATAGTGCTCAATACATCAGTTGTAGAGAGATATAGAAATACTACTGTTAAAATGGTACTCAATACATCAATTGTAGAGAGATATAGAAATACCACTGTTAAAATGGTACTCAATACATCAATTGTAGAGAGATATAGAAATACCACTGTTAACATAGTGCTCAATACATCAATTGTAGAGTGATATAGAAATACCACTGTTAAAATAGTGCTCAATACATCAATTGTAGAGAGATATAGAAAAACCACTGTTAAAATAGTACTCAATACATCAATTGTAGAGAGATATAGAAATACCACTGTTAAAATAGTACTCAATACACCAATTGTAGAGTGATATAGAAATACCACTGTAAAAATAGTGCTCAATACATCATATGTAGAGTGATATAGAAATACCACTGTTAACATAGTACTCAATACATCAATTGTAGAGTGATATAGAAATACCACTGTTAAAATAGTACTCAATACATCAGTTGTAGAGAGATATAGAAATACCACTGTTAAAATAGTACTCAATACATCAATTGTAGAGTGATATAGAAATACCACTGTTAAAATAGTACTCAATACACCAATTTATAGAGCGATATAGAAATACCACTGTTAAAATAGTACTCAATACATCAGTTGTAGAGAGATATAGAAATACCACTGTTAAAATAGTGCTCAATATATCAATTGTAGAGAGATATAGAAATACCACTGTTAACATAGTACTCAATACATCAATTGTAGAGCTATAAACTCTAAGTAACAACATGTTTTTTAGGTTTTGTTTTAATATTTCTAACACTATTATTATACTAGTTTCAAAATCATATTAAAAATGGTTACGAGTTTCTAAACCATGATGGCTGTGGAAAAATGGGGCTGTTAATTTAGACTGTGTACGTCATAGGTCCTTCAGTTACTGCATGGCGTTACAAAGCAAAAAAGTATGTGAGTCCACACTGATAATGATATCTTTACTTACCTATTACCGTCAACAAACTCAAATTTCGTATTTCTTGGCGCTTGAGAAAGCTGTCTCGGTGTCAGTGAACTCCAGGTTTCGTAGATTTGAATTTTAAGGAACGTCCAGACCTGTAAAGACCTAACACTTTTATAGCACATCCAAATATCCACTTTAATATTCAGAATATAAGAGAATTACCACTTTCCTTTTTCATCAATGTCTATAGTCGGGCTATTGTCGACCTCTCCACTGTAGAAAACTTAAACAACTAACAGGAACTTGAAGAATCTAAAAAAATTGTTGGGATTTAAAGGGATTGTTTTTCTCAACGTTTTATGTGTATCAGGGACACTAATATCATCAATTTGCACCATTGTAATTTTCAATCAGACGTCTGTGATTCTTACAATTCGACTATCAGCGTTTATAAGGGATATTTGCTATTGATAGATATTGATGATATTAGTGTCCCATAAAACGTTGAGAAAACATATTTACAACCCCTTTAAATTCCAGCAATTTCTTAGATTCTACAAGTTCAAAAGCAAGAAACGAAGAATTGTATTTTACAGGGGTTCCACTTAGGTTCACGTTGATCCTGACTGCCAACTGGTCTTTAACCAAAACTCATAGCATTAATCTTTCCATGATCGTCCGTACCCATATACCACAATATTTCATAGACTTAACAGAGCAATTAATGAATAAGATCTAACTCGACTGTGCTACAGAGGGGAGCCGCGTTGGCTCGGTGTATTAGACGCTTGATGGGTAACCTGAACATACAAAGTGCAATCTCGACATAGGTCGAGAGGATACCTTCGGATTTTTCAACCCGGTTTCTCCCTGTCAGTGATGCGTTGTCCGTTTTCATTAGCCCACATGGTGCAGAAAAGTAGGACGTAAAACTCCATTCATTTTATTTTGTGCTGCAGAACCCCCAAATACAATCGTTAGTCGATCCGAGCCTAGTTTATCTTACCATAAATCTATATTTAGTACCCTTGGCCAGTGTTTCTGTGACGAAGCTTCTATCTATTT